ATATATATATATATAAATAATTAAATATTACATATTATAAATTGCAATATTATTAAAAGAAAGTTTTCCACTTACTATCCCAAAATTAAATGTTTACTGAAGACTAGAAATACTCACATTTGCCCTCAGCATTCCGGCAGATGATCTGATCCTCGTTGGTGACATCGATCACATCAACAATCTCGCCCGCTTTTACGTGGAGCGCCATTTTGTCTCTTAGGCTTAGAGGAACCGTAGTGCTGATGGTGGCGATGCTATAAACACTGATTTCCCCGGTATACTGAATCATAGAAAGAGAGGAATATGATGTACGACAATGAAAAAGCACGGAAGGATGCCTGGTGCTGTAAACGAGGACTCTAGTCGATACATTTTTGAAGTTTTGGAAATACATAATCAGTGTGAATTTTCTCATCAATGTTAAAGTCTAAAAACGTTGGGGGGAATTTATCAAAAGTGGAGCAAACAGAATTTGGAACAGTTGTCCATGGCAACCAATCAGCTTCTCTCTTCAGTTTGCTCAGGTAAGATTTGAAAATGAGAGAGAGAGAAGCTGATTGGTTGCCGTGCAAATCTGCTCCAGTTTTTGACAAATTCCCCCCATTGTTTCTTTGTATCATTTGTCAATATATGCTGCCGCTCCGTATGGGCGGTCATTAATGCAACGACACAATACCCTTTATTGTACAACTAAAGTCAATATTTTTTTTTTTTAAATGCTACAATGTAATGAGTTTTTTTCTTTGGTAGAATAGAATCCGCACTGTCTGGATTTTACAAGAAGGGGGTGGTAGTCCCCCACAAAGCTGGCCCTGAAAAGTTAAGTCAGTGTAAATAAAGTATCAGAGACAGTACGCAGCTGTGATGTAGGCATAGCAGACACACTTAGGGGCTGATGTATGAATGTTCTGCCGAGCGTACAGCTGGGTGAATGCCGTTCACACAGCATTTCCACCACTAGATGGAGCCAAGGTGCATAGAAAAATACTGAAGGAAGAGTAAATTGATGTTATTTGTATTTTTTTAGTGTGTTTCAGAATTTTTGTTATAGCATCTATGAACATGTAGATTAATAGAATAAAAATACAACACATGTTTCTTTATTGAACTTGAAAAGTTGATTTTCTATGTCGCTTTCTTGTTGTAAAAGTCCTTTGGTGTTGGTGTATTTGCCTTTAGGATGCAGACCCCAGAGCCATCTCATCTCAACTGCAGCATTTAATGTGAAGTCTGAAATGCCTTAGACCCCGTTCACACTTGGCGATTTATCGCGCGGTAATTCCCGCGATATCGCGGCAAATTACCGCGCGATATCGCTCCCCAATGCATTTCAATGGGGCAAAGGGTCCTGCTGTCGCGGGTCGTGTGTCGCTACAGCAGGACCCTTTTGGACCCTTTTTGGAGCGGATTTATTTCCGCGAGATTTATTTATCTCGCGATATCGCGCAATTTGCATATCGCAGAGTGTGAATGGGGCCTTAAAGTGACATTAAACCCTCAGATTTTTTAACATAAACCAATACTGTAATGTGCGCCTTACTGTAATCCATGGTTGATTCCCTTCTCTTCCTTTTAAATCTGTATCTGTTCTCATGCTCTGCAGAACTTCTGTTTTGCAGCAGACTGCCTTGTCTCAGGAATGGATACATGGTGTCTGTGTGTAGGGTTGTATAGGTTCACAACCTGAGCCAGCACTACAGGAAGAGGCACTCAGCTGCAAAGGGAAGTTCTCTCCTAGCATGAGAAGAGATACGGATTTAAAAAGGAAGAGCAGCAAAGAGAAGGGAAACAACCATGGATTACAGTAAGGCGCACATTACAGTATTGGTTTATGTTAAAAAATCTGAGGGTTTAATGTCACTTTAAAGTATATCTAAAGCCAAAACTTGATTTCTTTTGTATAGAATACAGACAATAAAAAAGGACTCAAGGATTGTTTTATTTTTCCTTTATTTCTAGATTTCCCCCAATATAAAAAAAATTACTAAAAGTCACCCACCCTCTATATGGTCCTCCTCAGTCCAAATGAGGATCATAATTGCAACAATAGTAGATCATTACCTTGGTATTGTCAAACAAAGTGTGCACCGGACAGTAACAAAGTAACATTCTTCTGTGTACAGTTCATTCCACAACATCTCATTTTTACAATGCTCCACCTTATGTATTACGTTGAGGAATTACCGATCATCATATATTCTGGTGCCGCGTCCTATATACGTCCGATGATTGCAATTATGATCCTCGTCTTTGGCCAATACTGATTAATTGTGTGCATTTTACTAGTATAATTTGTCAATCTTACACAAGTATACATGCATCAGGTATCAGGTCCTGCACAATTTTACTAATCTGTAACATATGATTACCAAGTGTGCTTCCAACTTGAAACAAAGTACATTCGCCTCACATTAAAGCCCATGATATCCCGTAGGGTGTGTTGGTGCATCATGGGTCATGTCTGGACGCTTCATCACTGGTCTGGGACGAAAGAACCTTCGGGGGTGAGCACTACATACATACAGTATGTCCATTGTTTGTTTTTTTTGTACATATTTGGTAGTGATTCCTATCTATTGTTACTTTTTAATGTGATCCCCATGTTACTATTTTTTTCATATTTTCTTCTGCGATACATTTTTAGAGCTATAGTAATAATCTTCATATATGTCCTTTGTGTATTTGAATTCTTAATTTTGAACGTTGTATGCTTATATTTTATTGCTTAGTTAAAGAACACATTACAAATACATCGGTACCTCGGTTCACGAACTTAATTCGTTCCGCGATTCTGGTCGCGCACCGATTTAGTCGTGATCCGAATCAAACTGTGATCAGACCGCGATATCGACTAGAGGAAGCCACGGCCACTTGTCAGAGCGGGGAAGATGACTGCGGTTGTGTTCGTCACCCGAAGCGGAGTTCGCAAACGGAGGCAAAATTTTGCCGAACCGAATTGTTCGCGAACAGAAGCGTTCGTGAACCAAGGTACCACTGTTCCTACATATTTACATTTAATGTCATTTAGCCCTCACATCCCAGTTAATACTGTATACTGATCATAACATTTTGTTTCTTTGGAGCCCTGATGAAGGGGAACCTTTTGAACGCCTGAAACGTTTTGGATTTTTATGATCAGTGTCTAATGAAAATGAATTCTGGACTTTTAGCACTTTCATCCTGGCATAACCAGTCCCTGTTTCAGCAAAGAGCCAACCTTCCACCACCACTTATGGGAGATCTGCCCAAGGAGCATAATTTCCTCTGATCATTGCCGACTTTAAGAGATCCAGAGGACCTCACCTTTCTTCTACTGCCAGGAAGAATAAAAAACTGACAGAGGCTCTAACGATATCCCATTTCATTCAAAGCTAAAACATGTTTTGGCTTGAGATATACTGGAACTTCCTTCTTTCATGCTTGTACAGGGTTGCTTATGACTCATTGGGTGGTAAGCAGCAACAGGGTGGCCGTCTACTCTTTAAAAAAAAAGTTTTCTTTAGCTCTTGGCGCTAATGGCTGCACACTCAAAGTTTTAAACAGTTTATCACAGACTTGAGGGGCTGCTCATCCAAGGCTCTGGGGCTTCCACCACGAACATAGAAAACAAAAAGGGAACAGAGCGCCAACTCCGTGTGTAAAATCGTTTATTACAATAAATAAAACAAGGGATAAAAGTACTCGCAAACAAACGTTATCATCAGGCTTTAACAACAAACGAGAGGCCACACTGTCTGTTAACCCAACATGGTATCCCCCCGACTATGTAACACGGTAGTCTCCGGTCACATCACCGTCCACCGACCGCAGTCAGCCAAGATTGATGCGTTTCAGGGGCAAGCCCCCTTCCTCAGAATCATGATTCTACCGATTCTACTATCTAACACTACCATGTTACATAGTCAGGGGGATACCAGTTAAAGCCTGATGAAAACGTTTGTTTGCGAGTACTTTTATCCCTTGTTTTATTTATTGTAATAAACGATTTTACACACGGAGGTGGCGCTCTGTTCCCTTTTGTTTTCTTTTAAAAAAAGGTAATTCATTTAGATACCTAATTTCCATCAAAAACTATGAAAATAGAAAAACAACAATAATCATAACAATAATAAGAAAACCATACCTTGAATTTATCCCGGAAAATCTTCTCTTCCTTGGCAAGCTTCTTCGCTGGTGTGTTGCCTTTCCTGGAAGCCAGATTTAGGATAGCATTAAATACTAAAGTGGATCCCCCTTTCATTAACTCATTGCATTCTAAAATATACATTCTTGTACATTGTGCCACCGTTCTGTCACTTAGATAAGATAGATAAGAACTTTACCCTTCGTTTTTCAGGCTGTCTGTCTTTCCTTTCTGCTCTTTGCCCTTGAGGAATAATGAGCGGAATATCGTTGAGGATTTGTCTTCCTTCTCTCTGGAAGGGAAATGGTCAGGTGAGTGAAGAGTTTCCGTTACATGTTTTGAGGGATCCCTGTTTAGCTGGAGACGTCACATTCTGGAATTGGAATGGTTGGGTGGCTCGTGTATCAGAATCTGAAGGTGAAATCCAGCAGTGGGTCTTATTTTGAAATAATATTGTTTTACTTACCATGAAATCTATTTCTTAGAGGGACACAGGCAATCAGGCATTGAGACATGTCAGGTTGTTGGTACATCCAGATGGTTCCTTAGGTAGTTGCTCCCCGGCATTGGAATGCTTGGGGCAACCAACCGGAAATGGTTCCGATCACCCGTGTAATTCAGGGAGTCCCTCAGTAGAAGAGGGATGCTGAGGGGTGCCAGGTATCAGGAGGGATTTAGCAGTACCCAAGGATATAGGATTCTCCTGAAAAAGGGAGTGGGAGACCAGACGGTGTACAATTGCAGGAGCCAAGTCAAGTCCCCACTTGGACAGCAGTAAGGTGTCCCACGGGGAATCCAGGAAGACCTGAGAGGTTACATTGCTTTGTGCAATAGTGCGGGGACAACTGAAGAAGGTGCCAGATCAACATGCTAAAAGGGGTGTCCCAATCACCCAAGTGCGGGGGAGGCAAACTAGCCAAGGACCAACCCAGATGTACAAACTGCCCAACTGTTCCTGAATTATATTCCTCAATGGAGGAGTTTCAGAATTTCATTGTGGAGAGTAGAGCAGCATAGGACATGACAAATGGTTCAATCCATGACTATGATCAATCAATTTAGGGTACCCTAGTGAAGGACTTGGAGCATTCCTGTGCTGCAGGGCCAACCCTTCTCTCTTCCTGCCGACGAGAGAAGGTGGCACCCATAGAGCGCAGGAGGGGAATGGCAGAGCATCTCATCGCCGGCCCTGGCTCTTATGTATGAGATTGGGCCATGGAAAAATCATGAATGACCCCTCCCATTGTCCTCAATCTCATGCAACATGACCTTTGTTCCCCTCTGCTGCGGGACAATACAGACAGTCCTCATCTCAGATACTTAAAAACAATGAGATCCTTTCCGTTTTCCACATTATTGTTCCGCAACGTCAAGAGGTTACATTTCGAAAATGATTCTGACCCATGAAACAAAGCATGATGGAAAACGTACCTTGCATTGCTTTCACTTGAACCATTACTATAATTTTCACCACCTTCCTCTGATGCCGCATCTGATAAGAAAAAAACAACATTATAAAGTTACTGCAACGCATTCAAATCCTTCAGCTGCATCGTGATTTAGTGTGAGTATAACCTAAACTTTTGTTTTAGGTTTGGATGTAGTTCAGAAGAATTAGACCCCCGGTCATGTTTTTACAGCTGTCGATGTCCCTGTTAGGTGGATACACCCTCTCTATTTGTCCTGGATGGGAAATCCAAAAATGTACAATTTTCACCAGTGCAGGAGGTGGGGGCAGGGCCGTCACTATAATGAAGCAGACTGAGGCGATTGCCTAGAGTTGCCACCTGTCCGGGATTCACCAGGAAAGTCCGGATTTTGTGTATGCTCTGAAAACCCAGACACAAAAATTTCACAATGTCAGATGGACAGGGGCAACCACGGGGTCCTGGTGTTCCAACTTGAGTGCACTTGAGGAGGCATGGCACATGGAGGGACACTGGAACTGAGGGAGCAAGGAGGTGCCTAAAACACAGGGCGCAAATAAGTCTTAAAGGGCTCAGGGGTTTGGCTTCAGACAGATGTGCTGCTCGCCAGCTCTCCGCGCTCCCTGCCCTGGCCGCCTCTCCTCGCTCCCTCCCTCCCCTGGCCGTCTCGCCTCGCTCCCTCCCTCCCCTGGCCGTCTCTCCTCGCTCCCTCCCTCCCCTGGCCGTCTCTCCTCGCTCCCTCCCTCCCCTGGCCGTCTCTCCTCGCTCCCTCCCTCCCCTGGCCGTCTCTCCTCGCTCCCTCCCTCCCCTGGCCGTCTCTCCTCGCTCCCTCCCTCCCCTGGCCGTCTCTCCTCGCTCCCTCCCTCCCCTGGCCGTCTCTCCTCGCTCCCTCCCTCCCCTGGCCGTCTCTCCTCGCTCCCTCCCCTGGCCGTCTCTCCTCGCTCCCTCCCCTGGCCGTCTCTCCTCGCTCCCTCCCCTGGCCGTCTCTCCTCGCTCCCTTCCCTGGCTGTCTCTCCACTGGCTGTCCCTCCTCCCTCTCTCCCCTGGCATGATATCTTCCAATGGAGAAATATGTTCCACTTTTCTTGCATTTCCTGTTGCAGCTCTGGGACAGGAAGTGAAGGGAAATGTCCCTAATAGGACACAAACAGCAAAAAATAAACAAAGTGCCAACAGTTTAAGCCTTCCCTGCTCTATACATAACAAACAGAAAAAATATCTTCCAGGATGGAAATACAAGATCCTCCTCAGCCGACTTGTTCATCAAAGTGCGGAATCCTCCTCTTACTAATTGTGAGTCATTGACCCAGAACCAACTGGTGCGTATCAAGTTCAGGCACTTTCAGTGCAGTATGCATGGCGCATTGCCAGGAATGCCATATTCCATGAAACCTTCCACCTTATTGTGTTCTCCAGTTATGTTCTGATTTCTGGGAAACTATCATTTATAACAATATTAAACTTACACAATTCAGTGTTACTGACTATATAACTTTTACAAAAATGGAGTTTCCCTCATTAGGAAGAAGAGCTTACGCGAACCGATGGAATGTTGGTCATCCGACTAGCTTTCTCCATTCAGAAAGCTGGTCGGATGACCAGAGAAACGTCTTCAAGAAAAATACAGCAAGTCCAGTTGCCTTGATTTATTTTTTTACAGATGAACCGATGGAATGTAATAATAGGTGATGGGACAATTTCCAATTCAAGCCAGTAGATGGAGCTAAACGACCAGCTTAGAGCAGACGCAACAGTAGTATGCCTCATGTTCCAGTTGCAAGTTTGTATTCCTAGTTCATAATCTAACAAAAAAAAAGACTTTCCCTCCCTTACTGTTCTGGTGACAACTGTCCCCAGTCTAATGACCAGCATCATTATGCCTACTTCCTCTGTGCCCAAGTAGTCCAGGACCCACCCCCAGCCTGTGACCAGACATTGAAAGGAGAAGTAGCACAGTTATTAGCGCATCTTTCTCTCACTCTGCATGCATGTGAACGGATTGGCTCCTTGTGCTGCTTCTCACTGCTGTACAGGGGACTGCAAAAGGCCGATACCAGTTCACATTCAGCGACTTACACTGCACACATGTAAATATACATTTAAGGATCTGTTAATAATTACATAGGCGCCGGAGGCTGCGGCAGTACAAAGATCAAGATGTGTCCTGTGCCCAGTTGGTCTATACGGATGTATTTCTGGCAGAGGCTTTAGTACTATTCTAGAAGATGAACACCTGTGTTACCCACATCCAATCACTATCCAAATCCTGCCGCCTTCACCTTCATAACATCTCCAAAATACGCCCCTTCCTCACCAAAGAAACCGCAAAATTACTCATCCACTCCCTTGTTATATCTCGTCCTAACTATTGCAACTCCTTCCTCATTGGCCTTCCACTACACAGGCTCCTCCCCCCTTCAGTCTATCATGAATGCAGCTGCCAGACTCATTCACCTTACCAACCGCTCAGTGTCTGCAAACCCCCCTCTGCCAATCCCTGCACTGGCTTCCATCCCCCACCCTCCTCTCCTAATCCCTGCACTGGCTTCCATTCGCCCAAAGGATAAAATTCAAAATATTAATAACCACTTACAAAGCCATCCACAACTCTGCCCCCGGCTATATCGCCAACCTTGTCTCAAAGTATCACCCTAACCGTCCCCTCCGCTCATCCAAAGACCTCCTGCTTTCCAGCTCCCTTGTCAACTCCTCCCATGCTCGCCTCCAGGACTTCTCTAAAGTCTCTCCCATCCTCTGAAACTCTTTACCCCAAATTGTCCATCTGTCGCCCACCTTGACTGCCTTAAGGCGATCCCTAAAGACTCTTCTCTTCAGGGAAGCCTATCCCAAGTCAGCCTAACCGCTCAACCATCACATTCTCAAACAATTCATCCCCACACAGCTCCCCCCTCATGTATCACTTGCCCTATACTCTTTTAGATTGTAAGCCCTCAGGGGCAGGGCCCTCCTTACCATCTTGTCTTGAATTGTATTGTAACTGTAATGTCTTCCTTATATTGCAAAGCGCCGCGCAAATTGTTGGCGCTATATAAATCCTATATAATAATAATGTATAATAATGAAAACATAGTGAATGGTAATAAACTTACTTGAATTCAAAGTTGCAGATGGAGACCTGAAAGCAGAAAACCGTACACTGATTAGAAATAGGGAAAAAGATTGAAAACCGCATTAAAATATTTGGTAATGCTTTACTGAAGGCAACCCGCCAGCACAGACTGCCATTGCCGATTTGTCCTTGCAGGTACAAGTTCCAGAGCCGTTATCCCGAGCCTTCCTTTACTATGTACTACTAAGGCCCCTTTCACATGGTGCGATCAGGAGGGGGGTCCGTGCATGGATTCCATGCTGATCAGAACAGTTCCGCACGGATATCACAGCAGTCCGGTCTTGCGAAGGAGGAAAAACATGAAAATAACGGACCCATGTTGGTCTATGGGGAATCGGATGTAAATGGACATGTGATCAGAAGAGAGGAGGGGACCCGGCAGCATACCTCATCCCGCTGGGTGAATGTCCCGTCCTCTCTCTGCAGACATCCATCACTAAGATGGCCGCCGGCAGGCGTCAATTAGATAGCCGTGCATGCGTGGTGACGTCACGCGCATGCACGATGACCTCATGGCGGGCTGTCGCCCGGTCCCCGCTCCTGGGTGACACACGGCCTCGAGACGCCCCTGGTCTGCATACATCAAATTACCCCCTCCATCCCGCATGTTTAGGCCCGGCGACACAGAACTCGAATCCGTTTGTTTTTCCGGATCTGTGGGTAATCGGGTGCAAATGGACACCCATTCGTTTAGATCCAGCTGCCCATAGACTAACATTGGGCTTCCCATCGGGTCCATCTGAAAAGCTGACCTGATGAGACCACCCATGTGAAAAGGGACCTATCGGAGACTGAAGTGGTGGAGGAGCCCTGGACACACGCGCAAAGGATCATGAGCAGCCGTGTTGCAAGTACAGCTTCCTGTGCACAGCGTTGGTGTATTGGTGATGCAAAAAAAATAAGGCCAGCTATGTTTAACAGGTCCAGGTGATAGTCAGGTCATAAGATTCACAGGAGTAGCCAATGTGTCTCGGGGGCTTAACAGCCCCCTTCATCAGGGCTGAATGGTACAACAAATACATAAACATTTGTCAGCAGACAATGTAAAATAAATGATACATAAAAATATATACACACACACACACACACAACATATATATAATATAAATAAAAGATACATTGTCAGATCATATCAAGACAAAAAAAGAGAAATAAAACGTTAACATATGTTTAAAATCTATAGAAGAACTAAAAATAAATAATAGAACGTTCGTCAGTAATCTATAAACATATCAGGTTGATATTTTATTTCCTTTTTTATATTTTTTTTCAATTTAAAGAAGAAACTTTATTTTACGTTCTCCTGACAAATGTTTATATATGTTGCAACTTGCTCCCGACGCGCGGTTGCTACGCCTTTGACACTCAATTTGGAAAATAAGAACATGGACCCATTAATAACTTAAAAGCAGACGCGGAGTGGAGGGGGGAGTCAGGCTGCAGGGACCAGTGTAGCAGTAAGATGGATCTGCGGTTCGGGAGAGTACCGTATATCTTTTATTTTTTACAACCTAGACCAGGGGTCAGCAACCCGCGGCTCCGCATGCGTCTCTTTCATCCCTCTGCTGCGGCTCCCCGTCATGTCACTTCTATCCGTCTTTGTGAATGGGGTGGAATGTGAGATTGCACTCACAGAGTCGGATAGAAGTGACATTTCAGGACCCAACAGCAGTTCTAGGGCAGATCGGTTCTCTTGCACATACGATTTGCGATGCCGATCTGCCCTGGAACAGCTGAGAAAGCGTTGGAATGCTTGACCTACTGGCGGTCACACATTCCACCGCCAAAAAACTGGGCGGGATTACATTGAAATGTGTGAAGACATCACCGGCTACAACGTAGTCACAAACTTTGATAGAATACCGCCATCAGAGGGGCACAGCCGGTACTCATGTGAGGGGTCTGGGCAGCCTGGGGGCCTCTTACACGA